TGGTGACGTCAGAGAGCGAGGTTAGAGTTTCACGTCACAAGACTCCAGGAAGCTGCCGATCCGCGCGCGCGCTCACTGAGATCCGAGGTGAGAAGTTCACATCGTGGTGGTTGTTGTTGTGGTTGTTGTTGTTTATCAATTGAGTAGCAGCGAGTATGCCTCCGAAACGTCGTGATCTTTATTTTATTTTTTATTAATTTTGATGTTTTACCTACGTGACTTTACCGAAAAAACCTAAGAATATGAATCCTTGCAGTCACGAAAGCTTCAAATCTCGAATTAATGTAAAGTACAATTTTATTGCATCTTTCGCTAACAACTGAGGTTTATTGTTTACTATTTTTAAACAAATAGGTTTACAAATATTACAATGATAATGTTTGTGTGCACATAACAACTCTGCTTAATTGTTTACTATTATAAAACTAATAAGTTGCCTAATATTACAATTATAATGTTCGTGTGCAGAAACTATATGTGTGTCCCTAAAGTCGATGTCTGTGTGTGTGAGTCCATATGTGTTTGTGTGCGTGTAAGTCGATGGGTTTCTATGTGTGTGGGTCCATGTCTGTGTGTAAGTCCACGTGTGTGTCTGTCTTTTTAAACGGACAATGCCCCATGTGTGTGTGTACGTACATGTGTTTGTGTGTGTGTCAGTCCATTTGTGTGCGTATCAGTCGCTGTGTGTGTGTTAGTCCACGTGTGTGTAAGTCCATACGTGTGTGTTTTACTCTGTGTGTGTCTAAGTGAATGCGTGTGTGTGAGTCGATGTGTGTGCATGGCTCCATCTGAGTGTGTAAGTCAATGTGCGTTTGTGTGTCTATGTGTGTCAGTCGATGTGTGTGTGTGTTAATCCATGTGTGTGTATCTAAAGTAGATGTCTGTGTGTCACAGTCCATATGTCTATGTGTGTTTAGGGCAATGTGTGTGTAAGTCCATGTGTGTGTGTCTTAGTCGATATGTGTGTGTGTAAGTACATGTGTGTTTACGTCAATGTGTGTGTGATCCCACATATGTCTGTGTTAGTCAATGTGTGTGTGTAAGTCGTTGTATGTGTGTACGTCGATATATGTGTGTAACTGCATGTGTGTGTATCTAAAGTGCATGTCTATGCGTGTGTGAGTCCACATGTGTGTGTGTATAAGTCTATGTGTTTGTGTGTGTGAGTCGATTTGTCTGTGTGTGTCAGTCCATGGGCGTCTTTGTTAGTCGCTTTGTGTGCATGACTCCATGTCAGTCTGTAAGTCCATTTCTTCGCGTGTCTGTAGGTCCATGTGTGCGTGTGAGTGAATGTATGTGCTTTATTGACCTGCTCAAGGCCTATGATACCATCAGTAGGCCTGGCCTCTGGGTTGTTCTTCATGCTTTCGGAGTCCCTCAAACTTTGCTCACGATCCTTAAGGACCTTCATGTTGGTGAGCAGCCCCGCGTCAAACTATGTGGCCGTCAGTCAGAGCCATTCCCTCTACACATTGGGATGTGACAGGAATGTCCTCTGGCTCCACATTATTTAACATATCTTTTGACCACGTAGTTCGTGAAGCCTTCAATGGCTGTACCCGAGGAATTTACCATATGGTACAGATACAATGGGAGGCTGATTGATGCCCGGGTGCGGTCAAGGGATGCCTCCCTATTGCTCAACCATGTTATGTATGCCGATGCTCTGGTGATTGCTGCTTACTGCTGCTGAACCTGGAGCTTGCCACTAAGAGGTGGGGCCTTACCATCAGCCCCACCAAAACTAAGCACCTGCCTAGGTATTTTGTACCATCGGACACTCCCCCCTCACAACTCCCAATCGGTGATGGGGCAGTTGTGGAGAGAGTGGAGAGTTTCCCATACCTGGGCAATTTGCTCATGACCGGCTCCAGTTTGGCAGTGGAGGTCTCACTCCGAATCAGTCGAGCGGCAATATATTTTCATCGGTTGCGTAACGCAGTGTGGAAGCTGCCTGGTCTGTCGCTCCGCACGAAGCTTCAGGTCTTCTCGGCCACGGTCATTCCCTCCCTTCTCTATGCTTGCGAAACGTGGACCCCCCCTAATGGAACATCTTCACTGGTTAGAAACATTTAGGCTGGCCTGCTAACGATCCATCCTGGGTTTAACCATATATGTGTGTGTGCATCTAAGTCGATGTGTTTCTATGTGTGTGGGTCAATGTCTGTGATCTGCCCTCTGACCATCGACTAGTCATTTGTAAGATGCGCCTGCTATTCTTCCACTCCGGTGGTGGGTGTACACCCAGGATCCCATTCCAACCAAAAGTGGCCTGGTCTCAGTTAGCTGATGAAAGTTGGAAGCGAGAATTTCATCATCGCTTGCAGCTGGGGTTGGCATCGTCCCCCACTCCACCTGATGTCGAGGGTAAATGGGCGAGGTTTAGGACTGTGACTCATGCAGCTGCAATGGCTGCTTTGGGTACGCGGGCCAGACCACCCCAGAAACCCTGGCTGACAGAGGAGGTGTTCAGGTTAATTGAGAAAAAGCGACAGGCCCACTCTCATCGCCTACAGCATCCCACGTTAGAGAATGAGGAGGTTTACCGCAGCCTTCGCTCGGAGGTTCGGAGAGCCGTAAGGCGCTGTAAGGATGGGTGGTGGTCGCGGGTTGCTGAGGAGATGGAGTCTGCCTCAGTGGCCCGCGATCACAAATCACTATTTAACTCCATAAAAAAAGTAACCTGCAGCGCAATACCTATTACCATCATTAGGGGAAAAAACGGTGATCCAATCTCCGACCCCCAGGAACAGGTTTGCAGATTTGCTGAGCATTTCTGTGTGGTCCTGGGGGAGGGAAAATCTCTCAGCCAGGAAAACATCATGGCACAAAGTGGGGATGACCCTGCTGAGGCTGCGGTGCCTCAAATATTGGAAGAGGTCACCCCCTGTGAGTGGCTGGCTGAGGTGCCATCTGTTGAGGAAGTACTGAAGGCGATCCGGAGTCTGAGACCAGGAAAGGCACCGGGCAGAGATGATCTCCCAAGCGAAATGCTGAGGGAGGGTGGCGTTTGTGCACAGACTGCCCTATATGACATCATAACAACAGTCTGGACCACTGGACGGGTTCCGCAGGACTGGAAGGATGCCCTGGTGGTCCCCGTCTTTAAGAAGGGGGACCGTACCGACTGTAACAACTACAGGGGCATCTCACTCCTCAGTGTGCCGGGAAAGGTCCTGGCAAGGATTATTCTACATCGCCTTGCTAGGCACGCTGAGGAGAGGCTTGCGGAGACCCAATGCGGTTTCAGGAAAGGGCGGTCCTGCACAGATGCCATATTTTCTATCCGTCTGCTACAGCAGAGGTGTAGGGAATTCCAAAAAGACCTACATCTCTGCTTTATTGACCTGGTCAAGGCCTATGATACCATCAGTAGGCCTGGGCTCTAGGTTGTTCTTCGTGCTTTCAGAGTCCCTGACCCTCTGCTCACGATCATTAAGGACCTTCATGATGGTGAGCGGGCCCGGGTAAAACTACGTGGCTGGGAGTCGGAGCCTTTCCCTGTATACCTTGGGGTGCGACAGGGATGTCCTCTGGCTCCCACATTATTTAACATCTATTTCGACTGCGTAGTTCGTGAAGCCTTCAATAGCTGTACCGGGGGAATTTCCATTTGGTACAGATATAATAGGAGGCTGATCGACGCCCGGGTGCGATCAAGGGATGGCTCCCTATTGGTCAACCACGTTATGTATGCCGATGATTTGGTAATAGCTGCTCATTCAGAAAAGGAGTTGGAGACGCTGCTGCTGAGACTGGAGCGTGCCACTAAGAGGTGGGGCCTTACCATCAGCCCCACCAAAACTAAGCACCTGCCTGGGTATTTTGTACCATCGGACACTCCACCCCCACAACTCCCAATCGGTGATGGGGCAGTTGTGGAGAGTTTCCCATACCTGGGCAGTGTGCTTATTACCGACTCCAGTTTATCAGCAGAGGTCTCACTCCGAATCAGTCGAGCGGCAATATCTTTTCATCGGTTGCGTAACGCTGTGTGGAAGCTACCTGGTCTGTCGCTCCGCACGAAGCTTCAGGTCTTCTCGGCCACGGTCATTCCCTCCCTTCTCTACGCTTGCGAAACGTGGACCCCCCAGGTGGAGCATCTTCGCCGGTTGGAAACATTTAGGCTGGCCTGCCTGCGATTCATCCTGGGTTTAACCAGGCTGGATTGTGTGAGGAGCTCACAAATCCTTGAATAATCTGGGCAAGGTCCCATCGGTGAGCTCCTCCGGCAGGCAAGGCTGCGTTGGCTGGGTCATGTAGCCCGCATGCCCAGTCACCGCATGCCTAAACTGCTTTTGTTCGGCCAGATCGAGGGGGCTAAACGGGCGCGGCACGGGCTAGAGAAGAGATGGAGTGATGTGGTACAGGAGGACGTGGAGCTGAGTGGACTTGCCGATGACTGGTACCAGCGGTCTCAAGATCGGCCTCAGTGGAGGAGGCTCGTGAAGGACGCTACTGGGCAGTTGGAGGCAGTCGCCCTCCTACAACAACGGAGGGCGGAGGAGCGACGCTCACAACAACGAGCGGAGCGCCGGGTGGCTAAAGCACAGCAAGTTGGTACAGTAGGGGGCACAGGTGGTGCATCAGCCACTCATCTCGGTCATCTCAGTCAGTCGACCCGTGGCACCTGGGTCTGCCCCGTGACCTCCTGCCAGCGGGCGTTCGACACTTCACGTGGCCTCAAGGTGCACTTGGCCTGGCACAAGCGTCGTGGTGACGTCACCGCCACTTAGTGGCGAATGGCGGTTGTTGTTGTTGTTGTGTGTAAGTTCATGTGTGTGTCTGCCTTTTTCGCCCGAGCAAGGCCGGGTACTTACCACTAGTACTAAAATAAATCACGACGTTTCGGGCGCAACACAAGGGTCCAATACCTCTGCTGTTGTCGATCGCTGTGGGCTCACACGACATTGATTTTCCAACACGGAGGTACTCTGCAAACCAACCGGCTACCTTCAGAGATTTGTTCATGAAGCCATCCAGATATATAAACACAGACACAACTTCAACCGAGAGGATGGGTACAAACTGAGCAATCATTGGAAGGACGTTATTAACCAGGTAAAGTCTTAACTGACTGTGATGTTTCCATCCTACCTGCCTATGTCAGCTGTTATTTCCGACGCTCTGTGTCTCTCTTTCTATGCCTATCTCTTAGATCAATCATGCTCACATGTCCTTTGCATTGCACTCTCATGCCTTTGTATTTCACTCTCATGCTCACATGTACTTTGGATTGCACTCTCATACTCACATGCCCTTTGGATTGCACCAGTCTTCGATTTCACATTAACATGCTAATTTATCACATTAACATCACTAGCCCCGGCCACTTCTTTACGACCCTTAGGCTACACCCATTTCAAACCTTTTTAAAACAGTCTGCTTCAGCAGCAGACCTTGCTTTCCCACCTGATGACGGACGCTTGTGTTGCACCTGAAACGTCGTGATTTATTTTATTTTATACCTACGTGACTTTACCGAAAGAACCAAAGCGTATGAATTCCTGCAGTTACGAAAGCTTCAAATCAAGAATGCATATACTATCAGAGTATGTTTTGTTTGCTTTCTGACCACAAGTATTGTGGTTAATGCACACATGATTCCTTGTTAAAGGTTTCAGTTTGATGTTTTAACATCTTAACACCTGTTTTGTTGCCAGAAAAAAATGGGAAAACCTATTCTCATATTTTGGTACTGGCAAAGGTCCCATGATGAAATATTACAGTATATTCGAGGTGAACCGTGCGTGTGCAGAGAGGACAGTAAGGAGCCGGAAGTGAATGAATTTTGTGGCAAAAATGCAGGCCTGATAATATGTAAGGATAATGTGGTAAATGAGAAAAAATATAGCAGCGGTGGGGTGGTGGAGTGTGCAGGTGGTTCAGGTGTTGAAGGTGAACAGGTAAGCTAAAAATAGTGTGAAGAACACACTAACTCACCCTTGAGTACACATGGAAAATTTGGGGGGTGTAGGTTTCATAATGTTGGCCCAATTTGGTTCTCAAAAAAACACAAAGTCTGCTTTATTTATATAAATTTATACTTGTCTTGGAATGTTTTGTATACGGTTTCTCCACTTTTATTTCAGTAATTTAGTTTATTTGGAATACAGTACAGTACTTATTTCAATTGTGATGTATATTTTCGTTCCCGTTTACCTAACCCCATTATTTAGGTAAGACTTAAGTATTGAATATCGGCATTTTAGCTTTCGCACGGCACTTTTCAAGAATGTAACCTCCGCGCTATTCAAGGGGCTGCTGTATTTTCTGTCCATCAGCTATAGCACAGGAGTACGGATTTTCAGCAGAAACTAGATCTCTGCTTTCTTGGTGTAATTACGGCCTATAGTACCATAAAGAAGCTTGGGGTTTTGGATTGTTTTTGGTTTTAGATCTCTCTGCCTCTGCTCACATTCGTGGAGGATTTTTATGATTTTAGGCAGGCCCATCTAAAGGTGCGTGACCAGGAGTCGGAACCCTTTCCTGTTCAACATGGCTTGTGGCCATAATTCCCTCTGGCCCCATGCATTACATTACGTAGCATTTTCAAATAATGATGTATTTTGAGAAGCTCACAATGGCCCTATAAAAAATAGCATTCCATACAGTAACAATGATACGCTAATCGATGCCTGGCTGTAGTCATTGGGATCGTCCCCTGCTGGTCAACCATGTTACGCATGTTGATGATCTGGTCATGGCTACTCAATGATATTGAGTTGGAGAATCTTGTTCTGTACCTGGAGAATTCCATGACGAAATGGGGCGTTGCATATGTTCTACAAAAATAGATCACCTTCCTGGGAAAATCTTGACTTAAAGCTTTCGTGACTGCAGACATTGATATGTTTTGGGTCTTTCGGTAAAGTCACATAACTTTACCGAAAGACCCAAAGAACACCTCCCTGGGAATTTAATACCATACAACACTGCACCTGCTCCGCTCCCCATGAATAATCAGGTAGTGCTACACATGGTTGAGGAGCTCCTATACCTGGTTAATGTGTTCACAACCAGCTCTGGTTTCACTTCAAATTAGTCTAGCAGCATTCTTTAATTAGGCTCTGTAACACTATGTGGAAGCTGCCTGGACTTTTTCTCCATACAAAGCTGTGAGTGTCCATCGCCAAGGTCTAGTCCATTACCAAGGTCTAGTAAAAAAAGCAGGCATTCAAGCTAATCTGAACCTGGCTTCACACCTCTAAGTTGCAAATTAACATTAATTTATACATTTCTGCATAATACAAATAGTATTATTTTCAACAGCCTTTGCTATGTTAGCTAATTTTTCTTAAATAAATATTCTTGTCGTAGCTAGACAACCGAAATTGTGTGCTTGGAGTTTTTGGTAAACATTCATTTTGTTGAAGACACTAGGATGTCCAGGCATGTTTATGACCATTTGGCCTCTCATTGTGTGCCTTAACAGCCCATGTGATGAATTGGGGAATCTCTTTCACTATATCATGAAAATATGAATATGTATAGACGTGTAAGTCATGTGTGACTGTGTATATATGCATTTCTCTTTGCCTCAATACTCACATAGATGGTGTGGATATGTTTTTCTGTCTGCAGCTGACGCTTGTTCTGTAGAATTGGCCTGATGGAGCAAAGGCACTCAGTGCAGCTCGGTACAAGAAGGAAACAATGCGTCCAGAATGCAAACAGCACGGATCGTACTGGAAACTTGACACTGCACCAGAGAACACACACAGGAGAGAAACCTTTCAAGTGCACCGTGTGTGGGAAGGCGTTTGCACAGTCATCAACTCTTCAGACCCACCAGAGAACACACACAGGATATAAACCCTTCATTTGCAGTGTGTGTGGGAAGGCATTTTCAGATTCATCTACTCTTAAAAATCACCAGAGAACACACATAGGAGAGAAACCTTTTAAGTTCACTCTGTGTGGGAAGGCATTTGCACAGTCATCACATCTTCAGACCCACCAGAGAACACACACAGGATATAAACCCTTCATTTGCAGTGTGTGTGGGAAGGCATTTTCAGATTCATCTACTCTTAAAAATCACCAGAGAACACACACAGGAGAGAAACCTTTTAAGTGCACTCTGTGTGGGAAGGCGTTTGCACAGTCATCAAATCTTCAGACCCACCAGAGAACACACACAGGAAAGAAACCCTTCAAGTGCACTCTGTGTGGGAAGGCGTTTGCACAGTCATCAAATCTTCAGACCCACCAGAGAACACACAAGCATCAGAAAATCCACAAGAAGTGTAATCTGAAATCAGCTTGTGAAAGTCAAAGTGCTGCAATGTCCCCATTATTCATGAAACAAGAACCAGAAGAAAATTCCAGCTTGGACACTTTTAAAGGTATCAAGGTGAAATATGAAGAGGCGAAGGTGAAATGTGAAGAAGTAACAGTGAAGAGCGTGGAAGTGAAGGTTAAATTTGAGGATGAGTCAACTCCAAAATCGGACCTTCACATAGATGGAGGCAGTGTGAAGCAGGAACTAAATTCTGACTATGATGCAGAGCGAGGCAACTCCCAGCAGTTTGTGGATGTGGAGGTGTGGGTGGACTTAGACAATACAAAGGCAAATGGAGACCAGGTAGATGTGCAAGCTTGATACAATTAAGCTCCTATGGATGCACCTTTGTCAAAGGCCTTTCTAATGAAAGAATGTGAAGTTGAACACTCAATTTCTAGGTTCAAACTGCAGTGTAATAGTGGCCAGTATTTGTGGACCTGTGGGTTGGGTCGATCTCTAACCAGGAGCGACTCAAGTGTTTTGTATCATATCTCATCTTAGACACTCGATGGGTGCCCATAATGGGCATCTGCCCCTGTGTGCCACAAGGTGACCGTTCACTGGCCTGTATGTGGATATGAGTTTGTAAGTCGGGGGCGATGATTGATATGCCAGTCGGATTTGAACCTTGAACCTCTGCAACAAATAGAGAATGTACTCCTACTTGGCTTCCCTTTATGAGAGTGCTGTACGTATAGGCCTCATCGAGTCATTGATCAATTTGTAAATACGTAACGTGATGCAGTACATTTCAGTATAGTAATAAAATGTTGTCAATGTGCCTTTCGATTATTTGAATCATCATTGAAAGAATACTTGTCTGATTCTGAACGTACATGCAACATTTTGTGTATTAATGTCAAACATGGAATATGTGATGTCAGGACAAAATATCTGTTTTGGTGGTAACCTGTACGTATAACTCACATGAGAGCGGTTGTTTTTGTGATACGGGTCCAAGGGTATTTTTGTGAATCAGGATGCATCTGACTCCGAGGCAACTCATTGTCTTTGAAATTGGGAGCATAGTCGGATCATTCATCAGTTATAAGGCATGCCACTTAAAAGTTATGTATAGGAGATACATTCTCCACAAGAACACTAATAATTTTGTATTACATATGTACATTTTGTCAAACTGAGACTTGAAATGGACCTTGCTGATGAACATCAGTTGAAGCAAGCCCGACTGTTGTTGAGACATTGTACACCTGTCGTGAGTTCTTGGAGACACTCGTAGAGGCCACGTGTTATTTTTATATATATATCGGAAAGACAGCGTATGACAGCCCTGTTCTTCACCTGAGGACGGCTGCTTGCATTGTGGCCGAAACGTCGTGAGAATTGTATTTTTATTATTTTATTATTTCCCTTCTACGTGACTTTACCAAAAGAACCAAGAAGATGAATCCCAGCAGTCACGAAAGCTTTAAATATAAATTTTGCCTAATACAATTATAATGTTCGTGTGCAGAAACTATGTGTGTCCCTAAAGTCGATGTCTGTGTGTGTGAGTCCATATGTGTTTGTGTGCATGTAAGTCGATGGGTTTCTATGTGTGTGGGTCCATGTCTGTGTGTAAGTCCACGTGTGTGTCTGTCTTTTTCAAATGGACAATGCCCCGTGTGTGTGTGTACGTACAAGTGTTTGTGTGTCAGTCCATTTGTGTGTGTATCAGTCGCTGTGTGTGTGTTAGTCCACGTGTGTGTGTTTCACTCTGTGTCTAAGTGAATGCGTGTGTGTGAGTCGATGTGTGTGCATGGCTCCATCTGAGTGTATAAGTCAATGTGCGTTTGTGTCAGTGGATGTGTGTGTGTGTGTTAATCCATGTGTGTGTATCTAAAGTAGATGTCTGTGTGTCACAGTCCATATGTCTATGTGTGTGTAGGGCAATGTGTAAGTCCATGTGTGTGTGTCTTAGTCTGTGCGTGGAGCGGTAGTGTAGCGGTTAGCGCGCTGCGCAATGAACCTGGCGTCCCGGGTTCGTTTCCCGCTCACGGCCAACACCAGTGACGATTATCTGAAATGGTCCCGGGCCTCCCCTAGGTCGACTCAGCCTCAAATGAGTACCTGGTGCGGTGTGTAAACATCGCCGCTAGGGAGACAAAGGCGGTCGGGCGTGGTGCTGGCCACCCACCCCCTCGTGTACCGTTCTGGCCTTCATAGGTGCTCGCTAACAGCACTTGCCCCTACAGTCTGTTAAGGCTATACGGGGGATCTTTGTCTTGTGTGTAAGTACATGTGTGTTTACGTCAATGTGTGTGTGTCGATGTGTGTGTGTGAGTCGCTGTATGTGTGTATGTCGATATATGTGTGTGTAACTCCATGTGTGTGTATCTAAAGTGCATGTCTATGCGTGTGTGAGTCCATGTGTGTGTGTAAGTCCATGTGTTTGTGTGTGTGAGTCGATTTGTCTATGTGTGTCAGTCCATGGGTGTCTGTGTTAGTCGCTTGGTGTGCATGGCTCCATGTCAGTGTAAGTCCATTTCTTTGCGTGTCTGTAGGTCCATGTGTGCGTGTGAGTGAATGTATGTGCTTTATTGACCTGCTCAAGGCCTATGATACCATCAGTAGGCCTGGCCTCTGGGTTGTGTTGCATTTATGCCCCTTTTTCCAAAAATGCATATTAAGAATAATTAGGCCAATATTTTTTTTGTTTAATTAAATAATGAAAACAACCGCTGCTCAGGCCACGCCAGACATTTGAAAAAACGTGGAATGCCATTAAAAACTGCAAACGTCAGGACCTCCCCAGCCACCTTTGGCTTCCAACGGTTAGGCACAAACACATGCCAGCCATAAAATTCGGAGAGGGGTCTGGCCTCGGGATGACCCACGCAGGGGGAGCAAGGGAGTTAGAGGTTCGCGAGAAGGGGTCTGAGGCCTGGCATTCCAAGGGTGTCTGTTTTCTTTCTGTTGTTGGTTTTCTCTCGCAAGAGACGCGCAGAGGGGAGGGGGTTTTCACGTTTTGGGTTTTTAAAACACAAACGCACATCACGCAGTCCAGTCTGGTTCGAGTCGCGCTCAGTCTTGTGACTCGGCTTGCGACGTAGCGTTGCGAGGGAGGCTCGCAAGGGAGTTGGGGCGGGTCGTGCCTCGAGGAGAGATGGGACGAGGAGGGGTCGTTAGAGTTGCAGAAGTCTGAGTTCAGTCTGGGTCGAGGCTGGGTTTCAGCCGTACTCCAGCTGGCGGTGCCGTCGCGAGGGAGCAAACATCGATGGCCAGTGTCGCTTCTCGCAGAACAAAGTGACGAGGTGTGGTTAAGTGCGAGTGAAGCTTGCGAAATTCCAGCTATCACTCGTGAAAGAGCCCAAGCCAACGCAAGGGCGGGTGTCCGTGTGAAGCTGGCAGCTGCACGATCATGGAGAGAGCACGGAGAAAATGAGAGGGTGACGAGCGACAACAAGCAATCAACCTGGAGAAAAGGGTGGAAATCGCCAAGCATCGACCAAGCGAGCATCAAAGAGGACCAGCAGCAGCGGATGAGCGACGAGAGCCATCGTGCATCGCCAGAGAGAATGGAGCAGTGGAAAGAGCCTGATCGGCCGCCCACGAATGCGACGTGTGTTTAATACACACACACATCGACCAGCACCCGCTGAGAACCGACTCGTCATCCAGCAGTGGAGGAGCTGCGCGCTCTCCGACGACGGAATCATCGCGCACCACGACGGCGAGCGTCGTGCCGACGCCACTCATCTAGCAGTGGAGAGAGGGAGTGCATGAGCAGCACCACCCGGGCGCCACCGAGCGTCAAGCAACCCAGCCTCTTCAAGGACCGCATCGTGCCAACGCCGCTCAATCTAGCTGCGGAGAGAGAAAGCCAGCTACGGGATCGCGGCTGCCACGCCCGAGCGAGAGGGAACCTCTCTGAAGTGCTGGTTGTATACCCCTCCCCCACCTCACAAGCTCCGACACAGCGCCCTGCCTCTGCTTAAAACAATAATTATCAAGGGAACAATACAACGCACACACAACACGCACACGAATAAGACTATTTCAAAAAGTTATCTTTGTGTTTCGAAAAGGGTTGCCATTTCAAGGTGGTGCGTTCAATATCAACTGATCGTGCAAAGCAGTTGCTGCCGTCGAGTTACATGAATAAGAAGTGTTTTAGTCATTTGTTTTCGTTAATTGCGTAATCTTGCCGATTAATCTATTGACGTATACTTTTGCCTTTGCATATTAGAGTGTCATATTTTTGTTAAGAATAAAAATTGCTTACCATAGAAGTGTTTGAGTGTTTCTTTCCAAGTCCATGCAAAACTCTTATTTATAAGAACTGTACCCTGCGTTGAGAGATTAATTTGGAGACCTAACATAACATAAACACACTAAGATAATCAATAAATGTTTAATCAAAGATAATCATTTTATCCCGATTGATAAATACGACACTGGGCAGCGAAGCTAAGCCTAACTATCATAACTGCCCACATTAACATAATCGCAAGCATTTGCATAAATCAAAACGATTATCTCCATGATTATCATAATCTATGCATATAATAACATGCATTAGCATAATTTTTGCGATTTACGCATTTTCCCAACTTTTATTATTTTATAAAAATTTCATAACCCGACATATACAACAGTTCTGCATGCTTTCGGAGTCCCTCAAACTTTGCTCACGATCCTTAAGGACCTTCATGTTGGTGAGCGGCCCCACGTCAAACTACGTGGCCGTCAGTCAGAGCCATTCCCTCTACACCTTGGGGTGTGACAGGAATGTCCTCTGGCTCCACATTATTTAACATATCTTTTGACCACGTAGTTTGTGAAGCCTTCATTGACGACATAAAGCTCAAACCCTTGCGTATTCATGTCACCTTTCTTCCTGGCCATATATCCAAGCTAGAATTTTCTAATGGTTCTTGTGCTACAAGCTATGGGCTTCTTGTGACACTTGGAATTTCACACTTAGAATGCCGACTCTGCTCCTTATTGATCTCCTTACGCGTGTTTCAGTTTCAAAACACTTCAAAAGCCTTCAAACATTGTACTTGACGGGGTTTTTAATGTGTCCTCTGGCGGTTGTGAAGATTTGATGACCGTGCAAACGTCTTACCACACAAAGTGCACCTGATGGGCTCCTCTTCTGTGCGTGTTCTCTGTTGTCGGTCAAGATTTGATGACCGTGCAAATTAATTCCAAGACTCAATGCACAGTCGTCACGTCCCGTGGACAAGGGGAGTTCTGTTCTTGGTGAGGTTACAAACCAGATAGGGAGGCGCTGACATCACTCACTCGTGACTTTGAGGTGATGTCTCCAGAGGAGGCTTTTACATACTTAAGTAAAGATGTGGTAAGCAGCGGGATATCGATGGACACGGTTATTTAATTTTTATTTAAACAGATTATAATCCAATAAAACCTAGGCTAGAATACAAATCTGTAACAAAAATCCATGATGCATTTCAAATGTGCTCTTAAAATTACCTCCTTGCAATTAAACAGATCAGTAGACACGACATCTCTTTCATTTATCGGTCTCTCCACGAAGCAAATAAATGTTTTACACAAACTATACATAGCACAGCCTTCTGGGAGTGCAACATTGATTCAGTGCAATCCCCCTGTGGGCCGGTATTGGTGTACAATGTCTGAACAGCAATCAGGCTGGCTTCAACCGATGGTTACGCACATCCAGATGTTAATCAGCAAGGAGCATTTTTTGTCCTAGTTCGACAAAATAAAAAAAACACGTAATACAACATTTTTATTCGGGTGGTGGAGAATGTATCCGCTATACGTAACTTTTAAGTGGTACGCCTTGTAACTGATGAATTATGTGAATGTTCCTTATTTCAAAGACAATGACTTGTTCCAGAGGCAGATGCTTCCTGAATCACGAATAAGTATAACCCGTAAAAACAAAGTTTTTCACTATAAATCCTTTATATGCGTGGCAGCGAACTTAATATAAAGGATTTAAAAATATACTCGCCTGTGGAGGACGCGGGGATCGCTCCCGCGACCTTTGGCATGGGAAGCGAGGGCGCTACCAACTGCGCTACTCCGCCACGGCCTGTGGAGGGGTTACGCTCTGGGCTCTTATACTGTGACGTTCAGCCAAAGCCAAGAATGAGTTCTATTTGAATATATGTAAAATATTTTTTTTTTGCCTAAAAAGTGTAAAATTTTGGGAATTTTTTTTCACGAACATTAATTGTCTGGCACAACGAGTCTGTGTGGAAAATGTCAGCTCGATTGGATCACAGGAAGTGGGTTAAAAAACGACCGAAAGATTTGCACGGTCCTAAGCAAGCAAGCACGCAAGCACGCGAACTTAATATAAAGGATTTAAAAATACCAGTTGACCCGTATCACAAGAACAACAGCTCTCACGTTAGTTATCTGTACAGGTTACTTCCAAAACACACACTTTTTCTCGTAACAATCACGTATTCCATGTTTGACCTTTATCGACAAAATGTTACATGTGTAGTGCCATAAGAGGGGAGGGGCTGCTGGGGGCTCTGGGACCCTAGACAGATAAGCCCTCGGTGCCAGGGCGCTAGGATCCCAGGCACCCCAGACAGTTAAGCCCCTTGGCGCCACCAACGGGGGGGCTGTGTGTGCTCTGTGGGATATCTGGGGGCGCACACAACCCCACCCCTCGTTGGGGACGAGGCATAAAAGGGCAGCTCCCTGGCCGATCGGGGCCAGTCGCAGCTCAAGACCCAAGACCCGCCAGCCAGCTTAGGACCCTGGACCCCCTCGTCCCGCTTGTCCTTGTAAGGGCCGGGACGCTGTGAGGGCCAGTGGTGGGACTCTGGGACTCCCAGCTCTACGTCCTTGTAAGGGCGAGTTCCGAGGAAGCCAGAGTCCAGACCCGCACCTTGGCTGGGTCGGGTCAGGTAGCCTCCCCTAGGGTAATTGTAGCTGGAGGACCCCAGAGCGTAGCCAGAGTAGTGTATCTAGGCTGTGTACCGAGGCTGTAACAGAGTATCAGGACTGTTGGAGTGTTGTATTGTAATAAAGAAGTTACCTCTACAAGTGTCTCTGGAACCCATTACACATGTATGCACAAAATCAGACAAGTATTCATAAAATTATCATTCTAAATTATCGATATTGACAAAATGTAATTACTGCACTGAAATGTACTTCATCATGTTATATCGTATTGACAAGAAGTTGATCTCTGTCGGATGAGGCTTACACCTGCAGTACTCAGATTGAGGGGAGCCAAGTGGTGGTGCACTTTTTGTTGCAGTTTCAAGGTTAAAATCCGACAGGCATCCCTGGTTAGTCCAGGAACATGAATTACAAATATGCAGTCTTCTTAACAGCTGATTCTAAAACAAACAATTGTCATTCAAAACGTGTATGCGAATGCATGCTGGCGTTGTGGTTAAAATTTGGCAAATTCGAAACATTACCCACAAATTACGCAACTGAGATTACACATCAATCATCGCCCCCTACTAACAGACTCATACCCACATGCAGGCTGGTGCAGGTCCACCTTATGCCACACAGGGGCAGCAGTGCTTGTTGCATATAGTCTTAAAAAAAAAGACTTCATTTCTTTATGCTTATTTAAATTAGGCTCGGCTTAGTTATCTAGGGATGTATTACCAATCGTGATAATACAATGGAAAATATGTCATTTTATGAAATTCTGAAAATGTATGCAATTATACCAATTATGCTCAGCTTCGTTGTCATGTGTGTATTACCAATCGTGATAATACAATGATTATCGCTTTAACTTTTACTGATTATGTTTTTAGTGTAATTCTATCAGGTCTCAGAATTCAGATCTCTTATAATTAAGATGATCATGTATGAACGTAATAAAGAAACCACTCAGACTCCTCTATGTTATCTATGTTAAGAAACTTTAATATCTAAAAACACTCGAATATGTGAACACACTTGTGATCGGAATTGTCAACACCGTACTCCTGAAGATGTCCTACTCATTGATCCGTACAATTAACCGTCAATGGTTATGTTTGTTAAAACTGAGTAACAGAACAATCGGCTAACTCCTAACTCCCCCAAGGAGCGCGACCATACACGGCGATAAAAAAAGTCCGTTAAAAAAGTACAATATTCATACGAAACATGCTAAAGAAACATGTGCCCCATGGCAAAAGTAGACATCAATGAATTCATTGGTAAGATTATGCAATTAACGAAATGTCCTGAAAAAATTGTGTGAGTGCTAGTGTGCCTGTTTGGCTAACAGATGCTTATAAATTGGCTAATGGGACATCAATGCATTCGCAGGAAAGATTGTGATAAAAAAAATCTCAACACAATAGTATTCCTGTGTGTAGATTTGTAACATAGATGCTGACAGATGTTTGGTGTGTCAATGAATTCATTGGTAAGGTTATGCAATTAATGAAAAGTGACAAATACTTCTAAATGACCGTATTCATGTAACTCAAGGGACAGAAGAATGCTTTTCATGATCAACTAATAGTTAACGCACCACCTTGGGATGGCAACCCTTTTCGAAACACAAAGATAACTTTTTGGAACAATCTTATTAGTACAAATATGCACGTTGTGTGTGGGGTGTGTGTTGTCTTCTTGCCTTGGCTGGCAACATCTCAATGACGCAAAAAAAACACTATCCGTGATGCGTGGCATGCAGAACTCCCTATCGATTTTCCAGTCGCGAGGACAATCCCTGGAGCCTGCCACTCGCAGTACTTCTTTTTCTTTCATATGGCATTCTGAAAAGCAACAGTTGAAACTTTTAATGATCGTCATAAATGAATGCAAAGGTTCGAGTCCAAAAATGTGGTTGACACAGTGTGGATTTCAGCGATACCACCAGGATATGCATGGATGGAGCATTCATCGGTGATGTGCTTGATGGTTCGGACTTCTTACAGTTACAGTTAGGCAATTCTTTGAGCAGTACTGATTTATGTTCTTGCAATCTTGTTTATATCTGCATTTTTCCACCTCAGGCACTTTCTTCACACAAAGGGGCAGCTGTTTTCCTTTTGAAGTCACTTGGACTGTTTGTTGTCCAGATGTCTTTATTACCGCCATGTTTTTGTTCACGTTTTGGGCAGCGTTCCCCATCATGGGTTGGAAGTGTTACATTTTTTTCGCATCAGACTTGCAGTCTCTCTCAAAAAGGGGCGCTGTGGCCTTTGAAGTCGTGACCTATTGTGCAAGGGTGTGCTTGCTGTCACTATGTATTCCGTCCTCTCATCACAGGTTGGAAGTAAAAAAAATATATTTTTACACCTCTTCTCGCTTGGTACCGTACCACTTTCCACAGTTTTGACTCTGCAAGTGACTCAAAGTACGTTTTGAGCAGCATTCACAGCACTCATGTCGCGGTTTGGAATTCTTGTGTGGTATTTGATATATTAGGGGGAGGCACCCCCCTGTATACATAATTTACTGCTTCCATGTACTGTTAGCTACTAGAAGACAAAGGCGGTTGGTGAGGCTCTGATCCCGTGGAATACATATTATCTTGGGCGTGTGCAATTGACATATTTCGCATTGTACATCTTCTGAATGACCCTAGGTCTAATACTTTCATAATTATTATTTGGTTCATGCTTAACCAAGATTTGTGATATACGATAGTTACCAAAGATATTCCAAGAGTTTTATTAAACTTTGTTCCCTGTCTGTATTGCCAGGGATCCGTGCTTCTTATTATCAAGTTATATTTTGATATCCTGAGGTTGAAGATATAGCTAAGCTTCGAACTTTAATGTTGTATTTAAAAAACCCCAGTCAGCTCATAATGATTAACTGCCCTTGGGTGGATTTTGCTGTCCAAGGGAGGTGCGTGACCCCTGCTGTTTCCGTCTTATGTGTTTTTATTGTGGGTTGTTTCCTTTATGGCAGCCTTCTCTTGAAGTCAACTGGGGATTTCCTGCAGAATCTCATTAGCCCCCTCTTGGGTTTGCAGTTTTTTATATTACATTGTATGACTTCCCAAACAGGCTTTTGAGTAATTATCTTCCAGCTTTCTTTTGTGTGGCAAGGCAGGAGGCAGCGGCGGGGGGGGGACTCACCCTTTCCATGCCCCAGCGCTGCATCCCGATCAAATTTATTACCAAAAAAGTAGGCAGAATCACTCTTAACACAAATTTTTGGAAAAGGCATGGATACAACATGCTCATTGAGTGAGAATAGGTTTTCTCCTTTTTTCTTGAAACAGGTGTTGAGATGTTAAAAAACCCAACTGAAACCTTTTACAAGGAATCATGTCTGCATTAACCACAATACTTGTGGTCAGAATGCAAATAAAAAAACTTACTCTGATAATATATGCATTGTCTTTGAAACAGATTGGTCCACACCAGAGACAGCTTTCTTTCGAGCCTAGTCTCAAACGGTGTTAGACCAGAGGACGCCAAAAGGCATGCTCTTCGAGTGTTTGTGATGAGATGATACAAAACTCCGAGTTGCTGAGGTGATTAAGCAAGCACCATAAAAATGCTAATATTATTATAACATATTGAATGCTTGGGCTTATTGGCTCTCACTCCTAGTAAGAGATCTACCCAACCCACAGGTCCGCAAATACTGACCGCTCTTACTCTGCAGGTTGAACCTAGGAATTGAGTGTTCAACTTCACATTATTTTCATTAAAGGCCTATGACAAAGCTGAATCTATTGGAGCTTCATTGTCTCAAATTCACACATCTACCGGGTCTCGATTTGACTTTGTATTGTCTAAGAAGTCCATCCACACCTCCACTTCCACAAACTGCTGGGAGTTGCCTCGTTCTGCCTCACAGTCAGAATTCTCCTCCTGCTTCACGTTGCCTCCATCGATGTGAAGGTCCGATTTTGGAGTAAAATCTTCATCTTCACATTTTACCTTCACATCTTCGCTCTTCACCATCACATCTTCACATTTTACCTTCACTTCTTCGCTCTTCACTATCGCCTCTTCACATTTCACCTTCGCCTCTTCAAATTTCACCTTGATACATTTCATAGTGTCCAAGCTGGAATTTACTTCTGGTTCTTTGTTCAGGAGGGATGGGCTCATTGCAGCACTTTGACTTTCACAAGTCGATTTCATTGCAGCACTTTGATTTTCACAAATCTCCTGGGGGATCGTCTGATGCCTGTGTGTTAGCTGGTGTTTATGAAACTGTGGTGACTGTGAAAACGCCTTCCCGCACAGAGTGCACTTGAAGAGTTTATCTCCTGTGTGTATTCTCTGGTGTATTTTAAGATAAAATGAACTTGAATATGCCTTCCCACACACACTGCACTTGAAGGGTTTCTCTCCTGTGTGCGTTCTCTGGTGTATTTTAAGATTTGATGACTGTGAAAATTCCTTCTCACACAGACTGCACTTGAAAGGGTTATCTCCTGTGTGTATTTTCTGATGTATTTTAAAATAAAATGAACTTGAAAATGCCTTTCCACACACACTGCACTTGTTTGGTTTCTCTCCTGTGTGCGTTCTCTCGTGTATTTTAAGATTTGAGGTCTGTGAAAATGCCTTCTCACACACACTGCACTTGAAGGGTTTCTCTCCTGTGTGTGTTCTCTGGTGGATCTGAAGACCTGATGACCATGCAAATGCCTTCTCACAGACAGTGCATTTGAAAGGTTTCTCTCCTGTGTGTGTTCTCTGGTGTACTTCAAGTTGTGATGACAGCGCAAATCCCTTCTCACACACAGTGCACTTGAAGGGTTTCTCTCCTGTTTGAGTTCTCTGGTGCTGTGTCAAATTTCCAGTACTATCTATGTTGTTTGCATCCTGGTCCCATTGTTGTCGTTTTTTACCGAGCTGCGCTGAGTGCCTTTGCTCCATCAGACCAATTCTGGAGAGGAAGTGTCAGAAGAAGCGTCAGCTGCAGACAGAAAAGAAATCCACACCATCTACATTAGTATCGAGACACAAGAGGAATGAATATATACACAGTCACACATGACTTACATGTCTAGATTTATTCATATATTCAAGATATTCCCCAATCCATCACACAAAAGGAATATTTATAAAAGCAAAATTCAGCTAACATAGCAAAGGCTGTTGAAAATAACATGATTTGTCTTATGTAGAAAGGAATACATAAATGTTCAATCGCAACTTAGAGATATGAAGCCAGTCTCATATTTGCTTGAATGCTTGGATAAACAGATCTAACTTTAGTTGCACATATGCTGTGTAAATTTCCTGACTGTTTCCATTCTTCCAAAAAGTTCAAGAGGAAAATTAAAATAATCTATTGTTTTGATTTAACCTCCATGGTCAATAGTTAATATACTTTACTGCAAATACAAACTTGACACTGTCACACACTGGCATGGTACAAAGGTGGCCTTGTGTCCAGAACCATGCCTGGCCACCTTCATCTGCTCCGTATTAATGCCTCCTCACTTCACTATGTAATTAAGTTAAGATCAATCAACATAGCAGAGGCCAACAATAGGTTCAGCTTTCGCTTATCAATCATGTTTGCTGTCGGCAAAAATCAAACTAATTGAGTTCATAATGCAGTGAAATAACTGCACCATTGCTCCCCACAAAGGTAAACTCTTAAATACACATACATTTCACATTAATCATTAACATGTTATATAAACAAAACATCCACCATTCATGACGAATTGCAAGTAACCTTATCCCAGTGCTAATGCCGTAATAGGTGCAATTTAAGGCCATGTAAGTGTGGATTCCTTGTCAGCAGGTAATGGGAATGATCCAGGTGTCAAGGGATGACTGACAGATGAACCAGCTGTACTCCCCACTGTCTTGCTGGGTTTTAGGAACCCAGCGTTCCACCTATTCATGTGGGCGTCGCTCTTCCGACCTCATAGTTGTTGCAGAGCAAATATCTCTTATCTGCCATGCAGCATACCTCACGGGCCTCCTCCACAGAGGCCGATCTTCACTCCTGACACCAGTCATCGGCAGGTCCGATCACCTCCACATCCTCCAATCTCTTCTCTAGCCAATGCCATGCCCGGTCAGCCCCTAATATCTGGACAAGCAAAAGCTTTTTGAGCATGCAGTGTCTGGGAATGCGGGATTCATGACCGAACCAATGCAGCCTCGCCTGCCAGAGACTCAAGATTATATTCTATATTGATATCTTAAGGATCTCTAAGCTTCTAATATAATATAGTCTGGTTGAATATAGGATGAATTATAGGCAGGTCAGCCTTCATTGTATAAGCCAGCACAGATGGTAATTTAAATAAATTCATATTTTGAATCCACAGAGTAATATCTCTGGCTAAGAAGAATCACAGCTTTACTATGGGGACCTCATTTGCCAGTAAAAATATGATAATTGGTTCTTTACCCTTCTATCTGGCAACAAAACTGACACCTTTTTGCAAGGAGTCATGTTTGCATAGACCGCAATACCTGCAGTCATAAATACAAACAAAAGACATAACTCTGATAATGTGCACTGTCCTGTGCACATTATCAGAGTTATGTCTTTTGTTTGTATTTATGACTGCAGGTATTGCGGTCTATGCAAACATGACTCCTTGCAAAAAGGTGTCAGTTTTGTTGCCAGATAGAAGGGTAAAGAACCAATTATCAATCACAGCTTTGTTCGTTAGTTTCTAAAAACGCTTGTCGTAGTTAGGGTCACGGTGGCAGCATGCTAAGTAGGGCGGTCCAGGCCTCCCTTTCCCTGGCGACAGACTCTAGCTCATCCTGGGGAATTCCCAAGCGTTCCCAGGCCAGCCGAGTGACATAGTCCGGTCAGCGTGCCAGCCCCGGGGTCATCGCTCAGTGTGGTAGAGTTCCAGGGGGAGTCTATTGGGGGGCATCCTTACATATATTCTTTTTTGATATCACCCCTAGATCCAGGCTCAGGGGTTGTATTCACCAACAAGCGCGTTGTGGCCACGTGACCCACGTAACTCAGTCGGATAAGCTCGAAATGGCTAAGTGGTGCAATCCTGTGCGTCGAACATCCGCAGGATGAAGGGTGAGGGGCGGGTGCGCAGTATGGCAGGGAGAGGGATGGTCTCAAGATGGACTAGACCTTGGCGATGGACACTCCAAAGCTTTGTATGGAGCAAACGTCCAGGCACCTTCCACACAGTGTTACACAGTCTAATGAAAGAATGCTGCTCGACTAATTTTAAGTGAGACTTTGGCTGCCAAACCAGAGCTGGTCGTGAATACATTAACCAGGTATGGGAGAGTTGAGCAGGTGCAGTGTTGTATGACATGACAGTCCCACGCAGGTGATTTATTTTTGTGGAACATTTGCAAGGCCCCATTTCATGATGGAATCATCTAGGCACAGAACAAGATTCCCTAATTCCATCTCATTGAGTAGCCATTACCAAATCATCAGCAGATGTAACATGGTTGACCAGCAGGGAACGATTCTTTAACTACAACCAGTCATCGATTAGCATATCATTATCACCGTAACGAATGCAATGGCTTTTATATGACCATTGGGAGCTTCTCAAACTACATCGTTATTTATTGATTTAAAGCTTTCGTGACTGCAGGAATTAATACTCTTTGGGTCTTTCGGTCAAGTTACATAGATAGAAAATAATAGATCACGACGTTTCGATCGCAACACAAGCAATCCTCTTCATGTGAGAGATAAATCTGCTGAGACAAGGTCTTATATAGGCCTGGGTGCATCAAGGTAGGTGGGTGGAACTAAAGATGGTCCAACTACAGAGGCTGGGGCAGTGGCCTTTGTATTGTGAGAGATTAGCCTGTCCTGAGATGGGTGCATCATTGGAAGGACGTGATTAACCAGGTAAAGTCTTAACTTGCTATGATGTTTCCATCCTTTATACCGATGTTAACGGACTCTCTGAGTTGCATTACTAGGTTGAATGTCTTTGTATGGACAGGCTGGGTGTCCCACTGCCCCAGCCTCTGTGGTTGGACCATCTCTAGCTCCACCCACCTACCTCGATGCTCCCATCTCAGGACAGGCTAATATCTCACAATACAAAGGCCACTGCCCCAGCCATTTACATGCTAATCTCTCACAATATAAAGGCCACTGCCCCAGCATCTGTGGTTGGACCATCTATAGCTCCACCAACCTACCTTGATGTACCCATCTCAGGCCTATATAAGACCTTGTCTCAGCAGCTTTCTCTCTCCCTCACCATAAGACGATTGCTCATGTTGCGATCGAAACGTCGTGATCTATTATTTTCTATCTACGTGACTTGACCGAAAGAGTACATAGTTATTGAAGATGCTATGTAATGTAACGCATGGGGCCAAGAGCTAATTTCTGTCACAAGCCAAGTTGAATAGGAAATGGCTCCGACTTCTGGTCACGCAGCTTTAGACCGTCCTGCCCAAAATCATACAAATCCTCAAATAATGTGAGCAGAGGCATAGATTTGAAAACAAATAACAACCCAAAGCCCCAAGCCTCTTTATGGTACAATAGGCCATAATTAAATCAATAATGTAGATATCTAGCTTCTTACGAAAATCCGTACACCTCTGCTATATCAATAGACATAAAATAGAGCAAAGCAGCCCCGTGCATATCGTGGAGGTTACGTTCTTAGAAATTGCCGCGCGAAAGCTAAAAGCGCAACATTCAAAACTTAAGACTGACCTAAGTAATGTCATTAGGTAAACGTCAAATAAAATTCACAACATCCCAATTGAAATAAGTACTGGACTGCATTCCAAATAAACTAAGCAATTGAAATAAACACGGAGACATCGTATCCAAAAAATATTCCAAGTAAAAAAATAGTATAAATCTATAAATGATAATAGGGAAAAATATCTTATTATATTTTGATACTAGCAAAGGAGGTCACATGAAGTAGTGAGCTAGATGAAGAAAATTTAACTTAAGCAGAGAATTAAACCAAATGAAATCAGGCGAGGGCAGGAGGCAAGGCCCCGCGTTGTAATGTTGCAACCTGGACATCGATTCCATACTCGCTGCTACTCAATTGATATTCCTATGAGAGAGAAGGAGCGAGGCTCTACCTGGGTAAACAACAACAACCACCACAACAACAACAACAACCACAACAACCACCACGATGTGAACTTCTCACCTCGGATCTCAGTGAGAGCGCGCGCGGTGCAGCAGCTTCCGAATATATCGTGACGTCACGCGGCAGCAGGAGGTGACATGACGTCACTTGCGGGGTTCAACACAATACAATTCCTCCAACGGGCGGCGGTGTAACTGAATAAATTATGTTAAAGAGACGGGCTCATGTCCAGTGATGAGGCGTGGATGCTGAAACTGTCGCAATGAACGAGCGACGGTATTTGTGAATAAATTATGTTAATAAACCGCTAGTGACAGTTTCTGTTTCACGTATTAGGTACAAGCGGGAAGCACCCGGCGTTGCCCGGCGTAATTTTTTTTTAAAAACTTCTCAAAACTTAAAAACATAACATATACAAATGAAAAAAAAACTTTGATCATTAATAAAAATTCAAATAAAACCCAAAACGCGGTGGAAAAAAAACTTACGCTCCCGCGCCACGATTCGATTCTTTAGATCGCGCAAAGGAATCGAAGGTTGTAGATTTCTTTAAAATCGGCCTATTCCCGTTTAATCGATACCACAAACGCTCGCAGCAGGCACACTGCGTCACACTGCCACATGCGGGTGACATGACAGAGATATGACGTCACCGCTCACTTGCGTGCAAAATATATCCATTATTGCGTCACCCCCCCAAAAAAATACAAAAGTCTATTTTATAATGTTTGCATGGTGTACATTCTGGAAAGTACCCACATGGTAAATTTCAAGTTTGTTGCATGTCGGGAAGTACGCTAAACATTTTGAACAGACGCACATTCACAAATTTTCCTTTTATATATAGATAACCCTGTGAGCCATGCGGCTCTTGACTCGGGTGCAACCGCAACAAAACTAAAACATGAACAAGAAACATATTAAAGTCACTACACGCAGCAGAAAAATCCTGGAAAAAACTGCAAAATCTTCCAGAAAAAACACCTTTATTTCAACGCTGTGTGCAAAAATCCCAGTGGGATGCAAGTCAAACAATAACAACCATAAGACAATATAGATTAAAGCTATCAGGCTAACTCTGTACTACAACAAACCTAAGCCACACAATCTAATTTTTCAATACACCTTTAACGATCAGCACACTATAATCAAAACTCAAGATCATACTTTGCAGCGGTCATCCGGAATGATACATTTGATTTCAGGCCATTCTGAATAGCAGTGGCAGCTAGGGGTGTGTCGTGTTGTAAATATGACGAATCAACTTCTTTATGAGGCACACGTTTATTGTCTTTAACTACAGGGTCCCTAGCATGAAGGGTATATGGGTCCCTTCACCCGCTTCCTAGGGAGCTATGGCCTCCGAACTATACGGGACCTACTCTGGTGACCCGTTCCCTATCGTCCTCTGGCTGTGACCTAGGGGAGGCTAACTGACCCTGACCTCCGTGGGTCCTGACCACTGGCCTCACTGACCTCCAGCCCTTAGAAGGGATGCAGAGCTTGGGATCCAGGGTCCTATTCTCCAGCCCGGGCTTCAGTCTTCGGCGTGTAGATAACTGAGCTTATATACCTGTTCGTGGCCGGCTCTGCCCTGGCCACGCCTTCCTTCTGGAACACTCTCAGGTGACATCATTCCCCCGGTTCCCCCCACCCGGGAGCCCGGGGAATGTGTCCCAGGATCCGTTTACTGGGATCCACCGTTGGCCTCTCTCTGGCCCATGGCATGTGCCCAAGCGAGGTAACGCCTCTGCACTCTCTTGACGGTAAGTGGAACTACAGGCTGTTGAATGGTGAGTGACAATCACCCCAACAGGTGTACAACTCCTCTAGAGCAGTTTTGAGTGAAGATCTCACAGGTAGTGATCCAAGTTGCAGTTTATTGGCGATAGCATTCCAGACCCTAGGGGAATCAATAGAAAAGGCCTTTTCTCCAGTATTCGTATGGCAATAAGGTATGTGAAGCTGGTAAATGAGCGAAGACCTTAGATTACATTTGTTCTTAAAAACAGTGAGAAGATCCAACAGGTAGTCTGCTGATTTATTTGCAAGTACATCTTGAATAAATAAGATCTGATGCACAAGCCATCGATCATTAAGAGAAGTTAAGTTTGACCCAATTTAGAGATCGAAGTGGTGGGTCTTATATGGGCAGTTCAATTCAAATCTTAAGGCCGAGTGATACATTGAGTCAAGCTTCTTCAGTAAAGTACTGGGGGCTGATTTATATACGACTAGCGGTAAGTACCCGACGTTGCCCGGGCGAAAAAGACAGACACACACATTGACTTACACACACTTTCTACGTGCATGAGTTTAGTGGAAGAAGGTTGGAACAGAAATATAATTTGTCCACACGCAAAATTATGATTGTAATATTAGAAAGGTGATTATTGAAAAAAAAATCATATGAAGGTAATTTGACCGAATAGAAAATATGTGAATATTTTGAGGGTGATGATAAAAATACCATGTTTCTGTGTACAAGAGTTGAGCGAAAGAAGCATGGAATACAAAAAATAGTTGTCTGCACACAAACAATATTAATGTACACTGATTGTGTCTTTCGGTAAAGTGATTCAGATAGAAAAAGTAATGAAAATTGTAAAAAAAATCACAATACCATACAACCACAAGAACCGCCATTCGCCACTAAGTGGCGTTGGCGTGACCACGACGCTTGTGCCAGGCTATGTGCACCTTGAGGCCACGTGAAGTGTCAAACGCCCGCTGGTAGGAGGTCACGGGGCAGACCCAGGTGCCACGGGTCGACTGACTGAGATGACTGGCTGATACACGACCTGTTCCCTCTACTGTGCCAACTTGCTGTGCTTTAGCCACCCGGCGCTCCGCTCGTTGTTCTGAGCGTCGCACCTCCGCCCTCCGTTGTTGTAGGAGGGCGACTGCCTCCAACTGCCCAGTAGCGTCCTTCACGAGCCTCCTCCACAGAGGCCGATCTTGACACCGCTGGTACCAGTCATCGGCAAGTCCACTCAGCTCCACTTACCCCTGTACCACATCAATCCATCTCTTCTCTAACCCATGCCGCGCCCGTTTAGCCCCCTCTGTCCGGCCGAACAAAAGCTGTTTAGACATGCGGTGGCTGGCCATGCGGGCTACATGACTCAAGCAACGCAGCCTTGCCTGCAGGAGGAGCTTACCGATGGGACTTTGTCCACATCTTTCAAGGATTTGTGAGCTCCTCACACAATGCAGCCTGGTTAAACCCAGGATGGATCGTAGGCAGGCCATCCTAAATGTTTCTAACCGGCGAAGATGTTCCATTAGGGGGGGTCCAAGTTTCGCAAGCGTAGAGAAGGGAGGGAATGACCGTGGCCGAAAAGACCTGAAGCTTCGTGCGGAGTGATAGACCAGGTAGCTTCCATACAGCATTATGCAACAGATGAAAATAGAATGCCGCTGGACTGATTAGGAGTGAGACCTCTGCTGTTAAACCGGAGCCAGTCATGAGCACACTGCCCAGGTATGGGAAACTCTCCACTCTCTCCACAACTGCCCCATCACCAATTGGGAGCTGTGGGGGTGGAGTGTCCGATGGTACAAAATACGCAGGCAGGTGCTTAGTTTTGGTGGAGCTAATGGTAAGGCCCCACCTCTTGGTGGCAAGCTCCAGGTTCAGCAGCAGCACCTCGAACTCCTCTGAGTGAGCAGCAATTAGCAGATCATCGGCATACATAACGTGGTTGAGCAATAGGGAGCCATCCCTTGACCGCACCCGGGCATCAATCAGCCTCCCATTGTATCTGTACCAGATGGTAATTCCTCCGAACAACGTGGTAAAAATATACGTACAATAATGTGGGAGCCAGACATCCCTGTTGCACCCGAAGGTGCTAAGGGAATGGCTCTGACTCACGGCCACGTAGTTTTACGCTGGGCCGCTCACCATCATTAAGGTCCTTAAGGATCGTGAGCAGAGGGTCAGCGACTCCGAAAGCACGAAGAACAACCCAGAGCCCAGGCCTACTGATGGTAACATAGGCCTTGACCAGGTCAATAAAGCAGAGATGTAGGTCTTGTTGGAATTCCCTACACCTCTGCTGTAGCAGACAGACAGAATATATGGCATCTGTGCAAGACCGCCCTTTCCTGAAACCACATTGGGGCTCCGCAAGCCTCTGCTCAGCGTGTCTAGCAAGGCGATGTTGAATAATCCTTGCCAGGACCTTTCCCGGCACACTGAGGAGTGAGATGCCCCTGTAGTTGTTACAGTCTGTGCGGTCTCCCTTCTTAAAGAGGGGGACCACCAGGGCATCCTTCCAATCCTGTGGAACCCGTCCAGTGGTCCAGACATTGACTGACACACATAAAAACACAAACGCACATTGACTTACACACTGACATGGAGCCATGCACACATCGACTAACACACACACAGCGATTGATACACACACATGGACCGAGACACACACTTGGACTGACACACACACACAAACACATCGACATAAACACACAGACACATCGGGCGTTGTCCTTTCGAAAAAGACAGACACACAAGTGGACTTACACACAGACGCATGGACCTACACTCACACACATATGGACTCAAACACACACATGGACTGACACACACATCGACGTGGACAGCAATCCCCGATGATGGCACAGCTATCAGCATCGTATCAGTAAATTGCGGGACGTGAGCAATCGAAACAATAGAAATGCATAGAAGAAATAAGCTGAAATAAGTGTACATTAAATACCAGTAGTACGCACAGGTAAGTTGAGAAGCAGGCTCCAGTATAGATTATAGACTGCCAGTACGCTGACTCAATGACATAAGCATTGCTACAGTGGACATAAAAAGCTGGCAATACAGCCAGCAGCGGGAAGGATGCCGTGATACACTCACGGCCTCCTCCGCGTCATGATGGTGCAAGCGTGTGATTTCAAAAACATATGGTTAAACCATGTTTCTCGCGTAATGTGCGGAGTTGGCCTGATAACTTTAATCTAAATTGTCTTCTGCTTGTTATTGTTTGACTTGCATCACGCTGGGATTTTTTGCACACAGCGTTGTAATACGGTGTTTTTTTATGGAAGATTTTGCTGGTTTATCTAGGATGTTTCTGTTGCGCGTCGTCGCTTCAAGATGTTCTCTTTCATAGTTTGTTCGTTGCGGTTGCACCCGACTCAAGAGCCGCATGGCTCACAGGGCTATCTATACCTACTAAATTAAACTTGAAGTCAAGATTTAAATAAACTTAAACTCGAACCCCGCTCTCTGACGTCCCCACTACATTACCTCATCGGCGTGAGACACGTGGAGGTGTGCCCCGCTAATGACGTCATGTCACCTGCTGCTGTCGCGTGACGTCACGAGACTCGAGGAAGCTGCCGATCCACGCGCGCGCGCTCACTGAGATCCGAGGTGAGAAGTTCACATCGTGGTGGTTGTTGTTGTGGTGGTTGTTGTTGTTTACCCAGGTAGAGCCTCGCTCTGTCTCTCTCTCTCTCTCTCGTAGGGATATCAATTGAGTAACAGCGAGTATGGAATCGATGTCCAGGTTGGAACATTACAACGTGGGGCGTAGCCTCATGCCCTCGCCTGATTGCATTTGCTTTAATTCTCTGCTTAAGTTCAATTTGGTCTTCACCTGGCTCACTACTTTGAAACTTTTTTTTATTTTAAATGTTTCTACAGTTTTTTTTATATCTTACCAAGGCCAAGTCCACTTGAGCTATACCGCTCTTTTTCAGAAGCGACCTGCCCACAACAAAGTGGCTTATCAACGTGTGGAAATATCTGTCGGTCAAATACTCTAAACGCGTGGTGATATTGACTCTAAACGAGGAGGGGAAACCCGGAGGAAAATCTACGCGACCACGGGGAGTGAGACACGCAAACTCCAAATATACATCCATAAAGTCACGTAGAAGGGAAGTAATTAAATAATAAAAATTAAACATAAAATCATTTTCACGACGTTTCGGCCACAACGCAAGCAGCCGTCCTCAGGGCTATGCTGCAGGTCTGTCGGGGAGACAGCGTCAGACGCTGTCTCCCCGACAGACCTGGTCTTCACCTGAGGACGGCTGCTTGCGTTGTGGCCGAAACGTCGTGAGAATTATTTTATGTTTTATTTTTATTATTTTATTACTTTCCTTCTACGTGACTTTACCGAAAGAACCAAGAAGATGAATCCCTGCAGTCACGAAAGCTTTAAATCGAAATTTATACATCCATAATACAGGTTTGTTTGGGTTAGATCGTCTAACTATATAAATGTGTCGTTAAACCGGCCACCACCCGACACTGCCAATTAGTAAGGGTTGGTCACGTAAACAGAATGTGGCCAATTAGTCACTAGTACAGCACACCGATTGTGTGTTGGAGAGCCAAGCCACAACATTTACAATTTGAGTACGACGTTTCGCCAGTAATTACAACCAGCATCATCAGGCGATAGCCAAATGTTGTGGCTTGGCTCTGTGGAAATATAAATCGGCTCGCTGGGATTATAGCTCAGCATGCTAACCATTGCACTACCGCTCCCCACTCACGCAAAACATCGAAAGAATAGTATTTATTCAGTACTAGCTAAGTTACCCGGCTTCGCACAGGTCTCAGTAATCTGGCTTTGTTAGAATCATTTATTTCAGACAATGAAGTCGGTAAATATGCATTTATTGTAACGGTTTTTCGGTTGTGTTATACAATCGCAGGGCTTGTTTGTTTCATAATGAGGGCAGCTTTTAAATCGTTGCCCTCGGAGAGCTTCAGGATAGACAATGTTGGATGTTTTGCCATCTAATGGGTTTAAATCAAATGAAGCTTAAATTTTGGCATACATGTCGATAGCAAAGTAGCAAAGAGCTCTTTGCATCTCAAGAAGATATTGAAGCTGCAATTTAGTACCATGATCCTGAAGGCAAAGACGTCCATGGCGGAAATCTTATTTTGTTTTGGCAAGCCTGTTGCTGGGTCAGTTTGGCGGAGTAGGAAATGGTAGCCATCATCACCTTGCAGGATTTGCATCTTGCTGTTGATGACATTGTTGCAATGCTGATCTGTGGTAATGTAGGTTGGTCATTAGCTAGTGTCAGCAGACTGCCAATGCGATTATGTACCTGGCCCTGCACTTTAAATTTGAGAATGTAGCCAGATGTAGTGATAAGTTGGTTGGTGCCAAAACATGTAATTTGGAAGCATCAGTTATATCTTCTGTTGTTTCGGAATTGGTTTGCATAGGTAGTGTTTGCAGATATCAATACATGAATAGGCTTGGGATGGTCATTAATTGGTACAGTTGCAGCATAGCCCTGGAGGGTCTCCTTTTCATGTCATTGCATGGCAGTAGCCGCAAAAAGTAGACATGGAACCAATGGCAACTACTGAATCAGAAGTGTAAATGGAGTGAGGAATGTGTGGAAAAGAAAGACTTTTCCTTTTGGCAGCAGGGTAGGCACCTGGTTGTAGCCATTGTTGTGCTGTTTGCAAGCTGCCTTGTTTGTTGGTTGACTGGAGTTTGATTAGCTGTGGCAGCAGCCATTTCTGCTGTGTTGGTTTTCTGTGAAGCTCATTGCTGTTGAGGAGTTCCATTCGCTGATAGTGCAGGCATAGCAGCACTGGCAGCATACCGTCTTGCTTCTTGGTTTTCAGGAGTGTCATTATATTATCAATATGTGCAGCCATGGCAGTCCTGGCAACATGCTCTTGTTTCTTAGTGTTCAGGAGATTCATTAGCTGTAGGTGCAGCACAGGCAGCATGCTGTCTAACTTTGTGTTAAGGTGTTTCATTAGCTCTAGGTGCAGCCATTGCAGCACTTGTGCGAATGGCATCAATTATTGTAATCGGCTTTGGTGAAGAGAAGTGCACGTTTTCCGCGAGAAACATTATAGGTGGAGGTCAAAGTTAATAAACATAAAAAAGAGTAATTAGTGTGTGAGTGAACGCTATTTAGAGATTGTTAAATAAATTATAGTTGAATGTCTAATCGTTGTAGGAATGTGAAGACATAAGCTGCAAAGGAGCGCACATTCCCATACACCGCATGCTCAAGCAGCTTTTGTTTGTCCAGATATTAAGGGCTGAACAGGCAAGACATTGGCGAGAGAAGAGATTGGAGGATGTGGAGGTGATCGGACCTGCTGATGACTGGTGCCAGGAGTGAAGATCGGCCTCTGTGGAAGAGGCCCATGAGGTATGTTGCACGGCAGTTAATAGATATTTGCTCTGCAACAACGATGAGGTTGGAAGAGCGACGCCCACATGAATGGGTGGAACGCTGGGTTCCTAAAACCCAGAAAGACAGTGGGGAGCACAGATGGTTCATCAGTTAGGCATCCATTAACACTTGGATCATTCCCATTACCTGCTGACAAGGAATCCACACTTACATGGCCTTAAATTCCACCTATCATGGCATTAGCACTGCGATAAGGTTACTTGCAATTCGTCAGGAATGGTGGATGTTTTGTTTATATAATACTAGCGGTAAGTACCCGGCGTTGCCTGGGTGAAAAAGACAGACACACATATCGACCTACACATGCAGACATTGAACGACACTCACAAAGACATCGACTTACACAGACACACATATGGACTCACACACACAGACATCAACTTTAGATACACACACATGGAGTTACACACACAATTGGACGTACACACATACAGCAACTCTCAAACACATTGACCTAAGCACACATGGAGTTACTTGCTTCTTGGTTTTCAGGAGTGTCATTATATTATCAATATGTGCAGCCATGGCAGCCCTGGCAACATGCTCTTGTTTCTTAGTGTTCAGGAGATTCATTAGCTGTAGGTGCAGCACAGGCAGCATGCTGTCTAACTTTGTGTTAAGGTGTTTCATTAGCTCTAGGTGCAGCCATTGCAGCACTTGTGCGAATGGCATCAATTATTGTAATCGGCTTTGGTGAAGAGAAGTGCACGTTTTCCGCGAGAAACATTATAGGTGGAGGTCAAAGTTAATAAACATAAAAAAGAGTAATTAGTGTGTGAGTGAACGCTATTTAGAGATTGTTAAATAAATTATAGTTGAATGTCTAATCGTTGTAGGAATGTGAAGACATAAGCTGCAAAGGAGCGAAGTAATTCTTTGTAGTGCTTGATGTGGGTATTAATAGTATGTGTGTGGTGGTGTGTGTACATATATAATTAATCTAATTCTAGTGCGTGTATTTGCATGCTTTTTATTCCTTACCAGTCGATGTAGACTTGATGTATTTTAGTCGTAGCTGTTGTATAGTATCTATGTTATGTAGAAGGAGGTCGGTAGTGTTGGTATGTAAATGTAAATATTTTATAATAGTACATGTTTTTAAAATAAATATTGCAGTGTGTGTTAGAGGTGAGCCGTGCACGTGCAGAGAGAAAAGTAAGGAGCCGGAAGTGGATACATTTGGCGGCAAAAACGCAGGGCTGATAATAGGGAAAGATAATATGGTAAATATGAGAACAAATATTGTATTGCAGTGGAGACACTTATGTTATGGTAAGTGCGTCTAATTATTGTATACTGTGTTTGCATGTGTGGCACACCGGAAGCAGTGAGAATGCCCTGGGCTTTAACACATGGCAAGAGAAAGAGAGGGGGGAGGTGAGGAGTGGGGTGGGTGCAGGTGGTACAGGTGTTGAAAGTGAGCAGGTAAGCTAAAAGTAGTTAGAAAAACACTAACTCACCCGTGAGGACGCATGGAAAGTTTGGGTTGTGTTGGCGCAATTTGGTTCACAAAAAAATCTACACAAGCACAAAGTCTGCTTTATCTTCATAGATTTATACTATTTTTTGTCTTGGAATATTTTGTCTATACAGTTTCTCCGTGTTTATTTCAATTGTTTAGTTTATTTGGAATACAGTACAGTACTTATTTCAATTGTGATGTCAATTTTAGTTTACGTTTACCTAACGCCATTACTTGGGTAAGGCTTAAGTATTGAATATGACACTTTTAGCTTTCGCATGGCAATTTCCAAGAACATAACTCCGCGATATGCAAGGGGCTGCTGTATTTTTTGTCTATTAATGACAGCAGAGGCATACGAATTTTCAACAGAAACTACATCTCTGCATTCTTTATTTAATAAAGGCCTAAAGTAACATAAAGAGGCTTGGGTCTTTGGGTTGTTATTTGTTTTCAAAGATATGCCTCTGCTCACATTATTTGAGGATTTGTATGATTTTGGGCAGGACGGTCTAAAGCTTGAATGACCAGGTGAGCGAGCCATTTCTTGTTCAACTTGGCTTGTGACAGAAATTCACTCTGGCCCCATGCATTACATAGCATCTTCAATAGCTAGGCAGTTTGAAAAGCTCCCAATGGTCATATTAAAACCATTGCATTCTTTACGGTTACAATGATATGATAATCGATGCCTGGTTATAGTTAAAGGAGCTTTACTTGCTGGTCAACCATGTTACATTTGCTGATGATTTGGTCATGGCGACTCAATGAGATGGAATTAGGGAATCTTGTTCTGTGCCTTGATAATTAATTCCATCATGACATGGGGCCTTGCAAATGTTCCACTAAAATAAATCACTGGCCTGGGAATTTCATGTCATACAACACTGCACCTGCTCAACTCTGCATGAATAATCAGGCAGTTCTACAAGTGTTGGAGGAGCTCCCATACCTGGTTAATGTGTTCACGACCAGCTCTGGTTTGGCAGCCAAAGTCTCACTTAAAATTAGTCGAGCAGCATTCTTTCATTAGACTGTGTAACACTGTGTGGAAGGTGCCTGGATTTTTGCCCCATACAAAGCTTTGAGTGTCCATCGCCACGGTCTAGTCCGTCTGAGACCATCCCTCTCCCTGCCATACTGGCATCGCACCCGCCCCTCACCCTTAATCCTGCGGATGTTCGACGCAAAGGATGGCACCACTTAGCCACTTTGAGCTGGCCCGTGGGTCACGCGGCCACGACGCGCTTGTTGGCGAACACAAAAACAACACGTCCCACTGGGCGAAGACCCCTGGGTTGGCCCAGGACACGCTGGCTGGAGTATGTTGCTCGGCTGGCCTGGGAACGCTTGGGAATTCGCCAGGATGAACTAGAGTCTGTCGCCAGGGAAAGGGGAGGCCTGGATCGCCCTATTCAGCATGCTGCCACCGTGACTCTCACCAGTACAAGCATTTTTAGAACTAACGAACAAAGCTGTCATTCTTCTTGGCCACAGATATTACTCTGTGGATGCAAAATATGAACTTATTTAAATGACCATCTGTGCTGGCTTATACAATGAAGGCTGGCCTGCCTATGATTAATCCTCTATTCAACCATACTATATTGTATTATAAGCGTATACATCCTTAAGATGTCAATATAGAATATAATCTGGAGTCTCTTTGACAAGCAATGCTGCATTGATTCGGTCATGAATTCCACATTCCCATACACCGCATGCTCAAGCAGCTTTTGTTTGTCCAGATATTAAGGGCTGAACAGGCAAGACATTGGCGAGAGAAGAGATTGGAGGATGTGGAGGTGATCGGACCTGCTGATGACTGGTGCCAGGAGTGAAGATCGGCCTCTGTGGAAGAGGCCCATGAGGTATGTTGCACGGCAGTTAATAGATATTTGCTCTGCAACAACGATGAGGTTGGAAGAGCGACGCCCACATGAATGGGTGGAACGCTGGGTTCCTAAAACCCAGAAAGACAGTGGGGAGCACAGATGGTTCATCAGTTAGGCATCCATTAACACTTGGATCATTCCCATTACCTGCTGACAAGGAATCCACACTTACATGGCCTTAAATTCCACCTATCATGGCATTAGCACTGCGATAAGGTTACTTGCAATTCGTCAGGAATGGTGGATGTTTTGTTTATATAATACTAGCGGTAAGTACCCGGCGTTGCCTGGGTGAAAAAGACAGACACACATATCGACCTACACATGCAGACATTGAACGACACTCACAAAGACATCGACTTACACAGACACACATATGGACTCACACACACAGACATCAACTTTAGATACACACACATGGAGTTACACACACAATTGGACGTACACACATACAGCAACTCTCAAACACATTGACCTAAGCACACATGGAGTTACACACACACATATCAACTAAGAGACACACACATGGACTCACGCACATACATAGACTCAAACAGACATTGGCCTACATACACATGGACTCACACACACATTGACTTACACACACACATGGACTTACACACACATAAGGACTAACAGACACATGGACTAACACACACACATATGGACTCACACACACATTGACTGACGCACATAGACACACACAGTGACTTACACACTCATATGGAGCCATGCACACACATCGACTAACACACACACAGCAACTGACACACACACATGGACTGACACACACACTTGGACTTACACACACACATTGACGTACACACACACATCTGGCGTTGCCTGGGCAAAAAATACACAGACACACATAGACTTACACACACACATGGACTGTACCTAAACGCACACACATGGACTGAAACACACACACATCGCCTTACACAGCAATCCCCGATGATGCCACAGCTAGAGCAATTTCCTCTCTCTGGCGAGCCTTAGCGAGGAGCAGTTTGAAAACAAAGGTCTTCTCAGTACTGGCAGGTGCATTTGTAGTCTCAATGTGTTCCAAGATGTCCGTGTAGCCTTGGATTTGTGCATGCATGAGCTTTAGTTAATTTTTGTAAATAAATTTACGAAGCTGTAAAGCATAAAAGCATATTTAATGTAGGATCTCTTGAACAAGGGCATGCAGGTTGTTCGTGTAGGGCATTGGTAGTCTCATGGACGCGAGGTGTTTAGCACCAATGGAGTGCAGTTTGTCCTGAAGGAGGATGAGGGCCTGTTTGAAGATGACATCAGAAAAGTTGACGTCGAGGTTTGTATTTTGCCATTGAGCTCCGTGGAGGATTTCCTCAGTCATGCCCTCTTTGTATTTTTGGCAGAGTCCCATGGGGTTAGATGGGCTGCAAACTTTAAGATGTCTGCAGAAGAGCAATGTCAGTTGGAAAGGGGACTAACCAACAGAAGCTTCTGTCATAGCTTTATGAAGATGGTGATCATGCGCAAGAATTGCACGAAGATTGCAAGCTTACCTGTATGTTTTACAGACAACTCCTTCGACTGTTTAGAGGTCTTGGATAGATTTGTGCCCTTTGGCAACATGTAGAAGCATTGCGAGAAAGTAGCACTGCTGATTGTTGGGATGAACTGTGTAGACTTGTCCTAGGCATCCAATTTATATGTCAGCAGCACATCGCTTCAAATTTTTTTTAGCAGTCCATGTATAATAGGAGGGAACTTAATAGAGCAGGTTGGCAGCAAATGGGTAACTTAGGCACGAAACATTGAACGCCATAAGGGTGGTATCTTGTGGAGCCAGGGCCTGTTGTTGGGCATTTCCTTTGGTGACGTAGATGCGTTGACCATTTTGGAGGTGAAGTGGCAAATGGACGACTGTGGGGGAACGGTCATTGATGGAGAAGCCAAGAATTAAGCAAATGGGCTCATTGTTGCTGATGTATGTTTTTTGGAAAAAAAGTTTAAGCTCATGCACACTTTGTCCCTCTGTTTTGTAAGGCAACAACAGGTATGTCAGAGCCTTTGTTCATGTATTGTAAAAGATATTTGATGGCTTTTTTTAGAATAGCAGAATTTAACATTAAAGTGGGCCTGGAAGATATTGCAGAGGAGAGGGCAGTAGGGAACGATCCAGCAGTTGTGAACCTTAATTAGCGAGTTAGTGGCAGGTCTGAGCGTTATTTGAAATCCACCATGCTCAGTATTTCTGTGACGATGTAGAGGATAGCCATCATGGGCCAACTGAGTTTCTTTCAAGTAGTTGCATGGATACCTCTTGGTACAGCTGTGGTCTTGCATACATGGCGCATTTGGATAGAACTGGCCACATGGGCCATGGACCATTTAGTTGCAGACCACATAGGAAAAGGGCAGGATCCTAATGGGGGTGAGGTAGCGCAGCACTGATTATTGTGTCAATGTGAATTGTATGAATTGTTTCCCTCATCCATAGCGAAATGTGAGCATGAGGAAGAGGATGTTTTTGCCACCCAATGGTGTGCAAGTTACTGCTTGTCTATCCAAAGACGCCGTCTTCGTTGGTCGTAATAAGCATCATGAGGTCATAAACTTTGAGTTTGAAGACCCTCGCTAAGATGTCATGTCTGTCTGGTAGCTTTTGGTTTGGATAAAGCTAAAGCTGGATCTCCTTTCATTTGGGATTGCAAGTGAAGGTGATGAAGAGATGGGGCGTGGCATATTGGCTGATGTACGTCATGGCATTCTGAGTCTTCTCATGCATGTATCTTGGTGGAGCTGTGAAGGATGAAGGCAAAGCAACTAATCTGCCCACATTGTGAGCGTTTTCATCTCCTTGGGCATTGATGGCGTCCCAGAGATGAGCATACAGTTAACACGCAGGCGGTTTTGATTCAGTTGAATGTAAAGAAGGCGCTCACTCTCAATGTTGGCAAACTAATCGACAACATACTGGTGAAAAAGGTTGGCGCACCATAATATACGGTTTCCTCCTCTGTCCATGATCACGAAGGAATAGAAGTATTTTTTAGAGGAGACAGTTTTGAGAGGATGTCTTTGTCCTGCAACTTTGTAATTGGAGAAAAGTTGACGTGGTAGGCATCTTGGCCTTGCGACAGGAAAATGTGTTTTGTAGGGCATCGTATGCTCTGTTAGTGTCAGGAAATCGTGCGATGGTGTTTTCTTGGTATTGAAGAACAATGTTTATCTAGCAATTTTTCCTCACGCACCATAAGAAAGCAAGATCAACAATATTTGGGGCATTTCGATTTAAAGCTTTCGTGACTGCAGGGATTCATCTTCTTGGTTCTTTCGGTAAAGTCACATAGAAGGGAAGTAATAAAATAATAAAACATAATCATTCTCACGACGTTTCGGCCACAACGCAAGCAGCCGTCCTCAGGTGAAAACCAGGTCTGTCGAGGCGACAGCGTCTGAATGAAACAGCACCATGCTTGGAGCATATATTTAAGCTGGGTTGGAAAGGGGGGAAAGGGCGCCTTGACAAAATAATTTGCATATCAAGAGGAATTTAGCATATTTATGGGAAATGCAGGTATGTGATTAGTCTTTACTCTTTGGTTCTTTCGGTAAAGTCACGTATAAAGATAAAATAATTAATTAAATAATAGCATACGACGTTTCGATTGCAACACAAGCAATCATCATCAGGTATAAATGAAATAGCAACAAAATCTAACCAGAAAAACTATAGACAGACATATAAGCAGACAGATATCACCAAGATACATAGAGAGAGAGTAACACATAGGCACAGAGAGGGAGATCGTCTCTGTGGCGAGGCCTTAAATAGACAGGGGGCGGGGGCGGAGAGAGGAGGGGTTAGAGAAAAAATTAGCATGTCAATGAGTACGGCGACGCGTGGTCAATTACGCAAGCTTGAACATTAGGAAAGAGGGAGAAAGAACACACTAAATTAAATAACCTAGCAAAATATCGAAATGTTATGTAATACAACACAGAATGGATTCTTTGCTCCGCTGCAAGTTTCCTACCACTACTCTCCCATTGACATATTTCGTTGCTTCCTCTTAGTATCTTCCACATGACGGTCAATGGTACAGTGTATAATAACAAATAGTATTAAATTTATATGCTTAATACAATGTACAAAGTAATATATAGTATCGTAATTGTATAGTGAATATACAGCAGTGTGATATACATTAGGGTGGGTAGAATAATACATAGTGTAATATTACAATGTATAAGGTGGTTTATACAATACAGTATATAATTTAATGTTGGGTTTGTCTATGGCAGTATATAGTACAGTGTAGACTCGTGTGATGTAAGAGAATAAAGTTTAGATGGAAGCATATTATATATTTTTTTACGACATAGAATTGTAATGTATTACTTACTGTTAGTAATTCAGCTTATTGTAGAGTATATTTAGTATACTGATGATACTATGTAGTTTATACTTTAGTTGTTTACGTGGTGGTTTTAGTTACTGCAGCTACATACTATTAACACTCCTTCCCTTTATTAATGGTACCCCTATCCCCTCCCTTTGATGCTGCTAATCCTGCATAATGCACGGGCATAAGTAGTACTAATCACATACCTGCATTTCCCATAAATATGATACATTCCTCTTGATATGCAAATTATTTTGTCAAGGCTCCCTTTCTCCCCCTTCCAACCCAGCTTAAATATATGCTCCAAGCATGGTGCTGTTTCATTCAGACGCTGTCGCCTCGACAGACCTGGTTTTCACCTGAGGACGGCTGCTTGCGTTGTGGCCGAAACGTCGTGAGAATTATTATGTTTTAATTTTATTATTTTATTACATCCCTTCTACGTGACTTTACCGAAAGAACCAAGAATAAAAACATTTTTGGGGCATTGAACCTCCCTGCGTGCCCCCCCCTTTGGTGAAAAGTAAAGGTGCGGTACGGCGAAATAGAAATAGGTGATGTTCCCACCAATGTAACAAAACGATAGACGAAATGCAA